GTGTGTCACAGACAGTATTTTCTAGTAATTTTCTTTCACACAGAAATGGGGAATTATGGATTGGAGTCATTAATGGAACACAATAGCCTAGCAGAATATCAAAGAAAGACAGGCTCTGAAAAGAAAAGGACAATAAAAAGAGAGCAAGATAAAAATTCATAATTATTAAAATATTCTTAAAATTCTGACCAAGACTTTGTGCACCCATAAGACACCTACAATTTATTAGAAGATGCTACAGAGAAGTATCTGTACATGTGGGTGGCAGTGGGGGTGCCCCCTGTAACAGGCGTTTTGTGGACAGGTCCAATATAATTCACTGTGTTGAACAAGGAGTAAAATCACATCACATTCTAGAATGCATTGGATATTTCCCATATTTTTTACATCACCATTATCACCACCATACAAACCCAGATGTTTCCTTCAGGTTCTATACAGGCAAGAGAGACCCCAACCTGAGAGGATTCTCTGCCAACAACACTGATTCTCTTTTCAACCTCCCTTCTTCATTTTCTGACCACCTGACCATGTGTAATGGAAAAAGAGGGGCATCCAACACAGACTAAGTATGGTTTATAAGTTTTCATTCAACCTCTGCAATGAATTCTTCTTTAAGGATGTATTGCATGCATTTGCATATATCTTTCTCCTGCATATGCTTTAATTTTAAAAAAGGAAAGCATATGTAGGAGAAAGATGTATGCAAATACATGCAATACATGAAAAAGTTCTTTTCCTCAAACTGATGCTAAAGTTTGCCAGTTTTGGTAACTTTTTAGCACAAATGAACAGAATAAAATTCCCAGTTATCTCTACTGCCCAATTTCTATCGGCATAGGTATTGTATTCTCGGATGCTTTCACGGCCGGGATCTGATGGTTGTTGTGGGTTTTTTGGGCTGTTTGGCCGTGTTCTTAAGGTTTTTCTTCAAGACATTTTGCCAGTCTCTGTGGCCGACATCTTCAGAGGACAGGAGTCAGAACACAGAGCACAGACAGAGTTCTGACTCCTATCCTCTGAAGATGCCGGCCACCAAGACTGGTGAAATGTTAGGAAGAGAAACTTTAAGTACACGGCCAAACAGCCCGGGAAACCCACAACAACCATCGGCATAGGTATTCTTTCCCACAGAGAGGTCTATATTGTAGCTGTCTGTCATGCAGCTATCAAAGAGGAGACAACCCTCACTTTTGTCACATTTATGTGGGGAAAATATGAATTTGGGAAAGTTCTTATAAAAAAAGAACAATCTGAAATTTTTGCCTATTGTTACCTATGAACATGACCATAGGCTTCATTTCTGTATGGAATTGTGGGAAATATAGGGCCCATGGGCAGTTCATGAACTAGGATCCACAAAATTTCAAGGGGGCACTTCCTGTGACTATCTATGGCTTAATCCCATTGGAAAATGTGTCAGGAAGAGGGACAACAAAGCACATCTCAGAATTCATGTAGAAGAGTACAAAATAGGGATTGAAACTAAGTAGATATATAAATAAGAGAAGAATAATTTCCCCCTCTTCAGTAAATATTTGTCTACACCAGGCAGTATGTGGAGGTTGAGTTCCTCCACACTATATATGCTTGAATATTTGGAGATTTGTATTTACTTTGCATGTACTTTCTCTCCTCATGGTATGTTATGATATAGAATAAATCTTACAATGAGTTGATAAAGTAGCAGATGAAAAGAAAAGAAACTGGACTGCCTAGTCTTTGAAAATTTTCAGCTGTGTGTTTAGTACGATGTATGTTAATTGGCAGATTGTTTTCAACTTGCTCTTCCAAAATAGACTGCCTCTTCCTCTCCTCTTGATTTTTCACTCCGTCGCCTAGCCCCAGCCAAAGGACACACTACTATGATATACATTCCTTATTTTCATTTGTTTTCGGTTTCTGTCCTGAAAGACTGTATCTTAGAAATCAACCTGCCTGAGCAATGTTTAAAAACTGCATCTGTTAAATCAATCTGTATGATTCACAAATTACTTGAATATCAGCCCCTTAAGAATCACCCATTAAAAAAAGGCAGCTATCATTAGATACTAAGCAAGCTTCCTTGGATATTTACAATAAAGCAAATGTCCCAGTTAAGTATAGTGAGGTACAGAAATATTTTATAGCTATACTGCACCTTTCATCCCAAAGCATTTTTGCCAATTAAAGGTAAATGATGCTTTAGAATGGATGCCTCTGTGGAAGTGCTCTCACACAACAGGCAAAAGGAGGGGAAAATTTAAAACATGACAATGTGGCAAACACCTGCTCTTAAATATCACAAGATGGGGCTTGTAAATTTCCAAGGCAAATGGAGGTTTGGAACAATGAATTCCTGTCCTTGGTGAAGTCACTGGAACAAATGTTTAAGAAGCTGTCTGAAAGAGCTATGTGGCAAATAATGCATTATTCCCCCTTCAGACCCGCTTAGTAAAAAATGTAAACCATCTGAACTGGGTATGTTACAAGATTTCTTCACTATGCTACTAGTTGTGGCTAGTTCATCTTATAAATAAAACTGAAATATGTTTCCCATGTTTGTGCATTTGTCCTGAAAGATCTCTGAAATGGTAAGACATAGAAACACAAACTTTTGCATGAATGTTTCTGAGGTCCCAGTTACATAACAAGGTGGTTAAATCATGACCAGCTATGTTGGCTGGAGGATTTTGGGAGGTGCAGTGCCCCAGCCAACATGATTAAAGTCTGTGATTTTGGTGTTGCTAGGTGTCTGGGGGGAATTTTCCTTGCAGGGGCTTCTTTGTGGGTGTAAAACCCAGATATCCGAAACCCAATCTTCACCAAACATGGATAGATTGCAGAGGAGAGTCAGAGAAATCTTCCCTGAAATCTTGGTGTCTCTAGGTGCCTCAGGGGGCATTTTATAGCCAAACAAATCAGTGATTTGCCTTCATTGGGAACATTGATTTGTACCAATATGAATGGATGAATTAGCAATTTTTGAACAAATTTGGTGATTCATTTTTTAGATTCATGTCCATCTCTATTTGCTATACATATTTTTTGTATGAAAACTGATATAATGGTGCGATTATTAGATTAAGTTTAAAGAAGCAAGGAGATATGATTGCTCAGAGTCAAACGAAATACTGGCTGAAATGGTATTGCATGTAGGGAAGGGTAAAGTTAAGACTGGGAAAGTTGCAGGAAGCTACATCCCAGCAGTCTGCATGTCTTGTGGAACAGACTGCGCAACAGACCACATAACTAACTTGCATAACTGGTGCAAATTTCATGGCTTGCACAGCTTAAGTTACACAGGTGTAGCTACACAACAGAATTTCAGCCATTATCTTTTAACACATTTTAGAGGCAGTGGTCCTGTTTGTCATAGTATGATTCATTCCCCCCCCCCCCCATCTCTGCATCCTGTAGTAAGCTGTGTTTTGAGGACTGGAAAATAAACATGAGTTTACTCTCTAAATCTGTCTGCTGACAAGTGCTGAGACGCTCATCTCTCAGGATGTATCTTTGCTGGATGGAAAACATGTTGATCATAGGGAATATAAATTTACCTTCACACCTAGTTTGACCCTCACAGGTGCACAAAAATAAATATTTGACTTTGTTCATTTTGTGTATCTCTGAGACTCCAGCTCTCTTTGCTGCCCTACCCGCTCCCTGTGTCAATGCCTTCTCTCCTTTCAAACATTTATTTTAATCATACTGAGATTTTAATTTGTCTGTGGGGGGAAAAGCCACCCCTCGAACACAGAAGTATAATTTAGACCTGCTTTCAAATCCAGTCCCAGGAGGATCAAAATACAGCTTCCTTTTGTTTCACAATGCTTTTGTTGTGAATTTCATTTTCAGAAATACACCATGAGAGTCGACCCACAGGCTCCCCAACTATCCTTTGTAAATAATAGAAAGTAAACTACTAGAACATTTTGCACAGTCAAGAAATACAAACTTGAGTTCATAGTCAAGAAACATGAACTTGAACAAGAGTTTGCTTATTTTCAGATGTCTGTGTTCCATCAGTTAATGGAACCAGGTGAAAACTATGGTCTCGATAGAATCAGCCAAAGACATATTATATAAACCATGAGAGATTTCTAATGAGATTGTATAGCAGATAATACTAGGAATTGAGCTAGCTGGGCTTTTTCACACACAAAAAAACCCAAAAAGCAACTGTTTTTATCAGCTAATGCCGCTAAGCACTGAGAGAGACATGCTGTGGCACAATCAGATAATCAAACTGTGCACCACTCATAGAAAGAATGGGATAATAAGCATGTTTAAACAACTAATTAATCATAACAGATTGATCAAGCCATTTCTTCTCATTTTGAAGGCAGATTAGCCATCTAATTTATTCTAGTATCAACTGGTTAATTGAAAGGTTTTATAACCTAGTTTTTATAAGAACTAAATATATGAGTAAAATATAGTGTACAGAAATAAATATTCACTGTTTCATTTAAGTGAAGAAGCCCATATGCAAATGAGCAAAGCCAAGTGTGGTCCCAAAGGAAGGGGCTGCCAATAAATATCTCCTGACTGATTTCTCCTCTTCAGAGATAGGAAAAGTTACTTTCCTAGACTACAGTTCCCAGAATTCCTCAGCCACCATGACTACTGATATAACAGCTGGGGATTTCTGGGAGCTGTAGTTCAAAGACTGCAAATTATTTTGCCCTTGCCCCTCATTTGCCCAAAGGTACGGTTCTTAAAATGAGTGCCCAGAGGTCATTATATTGCATGCTTCCCAGTTCCAAGCCATTATTGACTGCTCCTGGAAAATGTGTTACTCAACAATATCATGTTACATATTTTGAAAACTAAGCTTGACAGGAACAAGGGGGGAAATTATGTACATTGTTACATATTGGGTGGTGAGTACATAGTTATTACCAAATCTGAATATACCATATATTTTGTTGTACTCTAGCTCTGAAACGGCCCAAGTGCTATATGAAATCCCAGGTCATGAAGCTGGTGATAGCATTTGACATTAAATGACAACTCACCATGATCTACTGGAAACTTTTTCCATTTTAACTGAGCAGTCAGCTGAAATATAAATACCATGGGCCAGGTTTGATAATATGGAGAGACACGAATTAATTCTTCTTTGGCAAGCTGTTCATGCTTTGCTGTTTCCTGAAAGACAGTTTCATGCTCAGGAGCAGCAATAAAGGATATACATTTTAAAATAAATAAAGAGGATATAAATGAAACACTTGTTCCATAGGGGAATCAGCTACTGAAAAGTCTAAAGTTCGTATGGTGTTCTTTTTAACTGCAATACAGCCCATTTTTGGTGTACTCGGAACCTGATATAACAATGAATTTAGAATGGATAAAATATGAATTATGAATAATGGATGGTTGCAACATTGTATTCTGAAATGTTAGTTGTATATATGACAGCAAGGATCTTGCTGAAGGCCATAAATCAACATATGTAAGTTAATTTAAAACTGAATTTTGAAGCGCTATCCTTAGATGGAAACCTGTCACTGCATCCCTGAACTCCTGATGAATGTATTCACATAATGACTAGCTTTCATTTAATTCGGATGCTCAAGAATTTAATGTGCAAGTGTAAGAAAACAGCACTACAATTTGATGTGAAGACTCTCTTCTGATATCACCCAAATGCCAACTGGAGATATCACTTTACATCCTTAATGTAAGGAACATCTCCTACAGATGTGAAGAATAATTTCTAAATTCCTTTTTGAATTAGGTAGCTTGATAGGGTATCTAAGTTTAGTAAGTATTATTCATGTCCCTGTTTGGTACCAAATCACATTAAAAATGTCAAGTTAAATCTCTAGTTAGCACATGAAAAAGTGATTCGTTGCCTCGAGCCAAGAGTGGGACAAGTAGCATTTTGTTGGTACCAATATCCCCATAATTTGCACAAAATACATCAGTGCAAACACTTTGTGCTTTACTTCTTAGGAAGAAAAACACAGAGAGAAAGAAAGCAAAGGACTGGCTGATGGTTAAGAGGCAATTCATCCAATGCTTCAAATGTTTAAATGTCCATAAAACAAAACTGCAGTTGACTTGATTTTACATATATGATGTAATTTTCAACACACAAAAAGGAGCAATTTGTGCTTCATTGTTGTTCTTGCCACTGCAAGAACAGAATCAAGCGCACCTGCAAGTTCCTTGCAATCCTTATGATTAAGTACAAGAATGTAGCAGTTCCTCATCCTCATGTCCAAATATAAGACAATCAAGGATTTACATACCTATACCTGGTATTCAGAAGAATTTGTGCAGCCATTTTGTTATTTGGTGATTACTTTTAGTGGGAAGTCTTGTGGTCAATCCATTCAAAGTTCTGATTTAAAATGTCATAACTCGTGACACACTTCAGAGTCTAAGAGCTTAACCATGTCAGCTGACAGGTTTCCATCTAAGGACAGCGCTTCAAAATTCAGTTTTAAATTAACTTACATATGTTGATTTATGGCCTTCAGTCTGTGCCTAAATATACCTTCGATATTGAACAATGTACTAAGCTTCTAGAAACCAAGCTACTGTATCCTGATTATCTCCTTTTGCACAAATTCTATCATTTATATGCATAATTGATTTCACCCTTCAGAAGTTCCATTATCTTCTACAAGTAACTATGCTCATTTGCCACATACAGCAGCTGTCACTGCATCCCTGAAGTGTGATTCTTCTGTTGGCAAGTCCAGAAATATCTTTTGCCCAATGGATGGCTGTACTCGATCTTGGATTAATGCACAGCTCTACAGTGTGATGTGCCACACAGGAATCCACAGGGGACAATGTTTTCTCAGCTTTGGATGGAAATAAAAGAAGCACTAGGTGAATTGTGCATACATATTTTGAATACATTGACCAAGATTTCATGTTTTTCTCAGGTTGTATGTATTCCAAAGTCCTAAAACAAGCATCATCATGCATTAAGGTGTCTGTGAACCTGGCAGTGTCCCATTTATGCATCAAAGCAATAGTTACCAACACATACTTCCCTGTTTTCCTGAAAATAAGACCTAAGCTGAAAATAAGACATAGTATGATTTTTCAGTATGCTTGTACATGAAAAAAATAAATAAAACATTCCCTGAAAATAAGCCCTACTGCATTTTTGGAGCAAAAATTAATATAAGACCCTGTCTTGTTTTCAGGGAAGCACAGTACCAGCGGGACACAGGGGTAGCCTAGATTAGACGCAGGGAATTAATAACACTATTACACTATTATTACAACTATAACTACTGGTAAGATTATTACCAGTTGTTGTTGTTGTTGTTAAGATTATTAAGTTATTATTATTAAGATTATTACCAGTACAGTGGTGCCTTGCAAGACGATTGCTTCTCGGGACGATTAATCCACAAGACAATTAGTTTTTGTCATCTCTGTTGCGCTACACAAGATGATGTTTTCTATGGACGATTTTTGCAAGATGACGATTTTTCCCCATTGGAACACATTAAATAGATTTTAATGCATTTGTATGGGGAACCACATTCCGCAAGATGATGTTTTCGCAAGACAGCAATTTTCGTGGAACGAATTAACATTATCTTGTGAGGCACCACTGTAGTTTCCCTTTGGGAGGAAAGTGATGACAAACCTAGACAGCATCTTAAAAAGCAGAGACATCACCTTGCAGACAAAGGTCTGCACAGTCAAAGCTATGGTTTTTCCAGTAGCAATGCATGGAAGTGAGAGCTGGAACATAAAGAAGGCTGACCACTGAAGAATGGATGCTTTTGAATTGTGGTGCTGGAGGAGATTCTTGAGAGTCCCCTGGAATGCAAAGAGAGCAAACCTATCCATTTTGAAGGAAATCAACCCTGAGTGCTCACTGGAAGGACAGATCCTGAGGCTGGGGCTCCAATACTTTGGCCATCTCATGGGAAGAGAAGGCTCCCTGGAAAAGACCCTGATGTTGGGAAAGTGTGAGGGCAAGAGGAGAAGGGGACGAGATGGATGGACAATGTCATCGAAGCGACCAACATGAATTTGACCCCACTCCGGGAGGCAGTGGAAGACAGGAGGACCTGGTGTGCTCTGGTCCATGGGGGCATGAAGAGTCGGACATGACTTAACAACAACAAAAAATATTATTACATGTATTTACTTGTGTTTGCTCCTAATGATATTGTTCTTCATGAAAACCTAGCTTGATGCTTAGTGTAATAACAGAAGATATAAATATAAAATATGTAAATATAAAAATGTGACTCTTGGGAAAAGTGGGGTCTTTGTTTTATCATGGTACGACCAAGGTTGTTTGATATAAGACCCACATTCTTTGATTCATTGGATCTAAGATATGAATTGGTGAGAATCAGTGCATTTAAGTCTAATGATTAAAATGGCTATATACATAATTTTGTCACTATTAAGAATATGGTGAGTTTGCTGTTGTTATCTGATTGATTGATTGATTGATTGATTGATTGATTGTTTGATTGATTGATTGATTGACTGACTGACTGATTGACTGATTGATTGACTGATTGATTGAAGAGTTTTCATTTCAGGGATTCATATTTCTAGCCTCCAAGATATTGATAGCTTCTATACTATTGCTATTTTTAAAGCAAATCATCACAGTCTTTAACAAGCATACCTACTGATTTTAATACACTACAGTTGCAGCACAAACTCCTATCATTCTCAACATAAAAGGTCACTGATCTTTTTTTGTGTAAGCTGCTGCTTAGCAAATCAAAAGCATCTGAGTTGTGAAGCAACATGTGGTCCCAGGCTAAGATTAACAAGATTTGACTCCTTCTCAACAATACACTTATACATTCTGTAAAGAGCATTCAGTTTTAGGCATTATAAGGAACTTAACACCTCTTCTGTAATTTTTTTTTAAAAAAGAGATCTATAGCATATACAATTTACACACAGACATCTGCAAAAGCTGTGTCTGAAAAAGAGCATGTTTAGCTAGATAACAGAAAATGCCTTCAAAAAATAAGTGTTTATTCCATTGTTAAACTTATATTGAAATCATGAGCACAGGGTGGAGGGTCCTTCTAAAAACAGCCTGAGTCTGCATGCACACCTTTGTATAGAAAATCTACAAAATTTATATAAGCCATTTGCAATGTTAGCTACATCTGTGTGTTCAAATCTGCTGTCATTCCTCAAGCAGATGATTTTGGTGTCTCTAAGTGCTGGGGGGTGGGTGGGATTTTATAGAGTTTTGAAGTAAAAATGAATTGACAAATCAATTTGTTGATTCACCAAAATAGGTAGTTGTTATTTTGTCATCAAATTCATCATTGAATCTTGACGAATCACGAATCAAAATAATCACAATTTTTCTGATTCGTGCCCATCTCTATTTTTAAATATTGCAATAATTTATTATTTAGCTTTTACTGTTGCTTCTTTTAATACTGTAAGCCATCTTAGATCCTTTAGGAGAAAGATGGCATATAAATGTTTTAAATAAATAACCAAAACTTTTTAAAAAAATAATGCAACAATGATGCAAAAGCATCTACTAAACTGAAAACAGTTGCCCAGTACTGAATTGCATTCCTGAGTACACAAACACATCTTTATAGTCTTTCCAGGTAAGTTTGGCTGAATGGTGCAACTGGACTAAATCTTGGATTTATAAAATTATAAATGGGAGAAAATACCAATTTTGGCTGGAATAGTGGTAGGTGATCATCTGGAAGAGTCTGAGTTCAGCACTAACAATCTCTAAAAGCCTCCTGCACAGCCTATTCTCTCCTAAATAACTATGTCTCCTCAACCTAAGAGATATCAGATTAAGAAAGAGCAAGATCTCATGACCTTGATTTGAAATGGGCTCAAGTGGCAGAGGGAACCTTGAGGAAGTAAAGTCCCTGTAAGCATGCTTGGGAACATCTCATGAATCCATCCTAGCATCAGCAGACATTCTGGGCAATTATGTAGAAGCATTGAGACCCTTATTACGAGGCTTCATAATTGTCATTGCTACTGCTGATAGTATATTTTTAGGAGCACCTTGTATGCAACCAAATCAGCAAAGAGGTTATCAGCTCCATAACCCCCTGCAGCGCCCCCCCCCACAACTCTAACTCTCCCTCTGCCAACTACTTCTTCACAGTCAAAATGGAGGGGTTGCCAAGGAAGGTCTCCAAGGCCTACACTTATTAGTGACTGAAACCACTTCTATGGACTTTGATTTCTTGCCTGTAGCTCCATGAATGAATAGAAAAGTCCTATGCCTAGGAATCATTTTTTAAAAAAGTTATGTGCATCAATTACAAAATGCACTTCATAAAATATCAGCATTGAGCTCAAATCAGAATTTTCAACATACTAATGTTCACAAAATATTTATTGGAGGCCCACAAACATATGAATCACCAATCCAATTAAGCCCACCAGCCATAAATGTTGTTTGTGAAAGACAAACATTTTGCCATCTGACTGGGATACAAAACATTGAGGGAGTTTGTCAATTCCTTGGCAGGCCAGCAGGTATTGCCGGACTATGTTCACCTTGGTAAGTTATGGTCAAGATATAATTAAGAACATGAAACAGGATTTTACAGCAAGTATCTGAAACCCAGCTGTACAGGGTTACATGGTATATTTTAAATAAATGCATGATACCTTTTAAGAGGTACTATAATTTCTGGTTCTTGCGAGATGCACCTCAGGAACGTAAAAACTGCTTACCTCTTTTATTCTTAAATAATCCACAGAGGGGATTTTGAGAAAGTCACAGTTATCTTCTGTAACTACTGTAAGCATACCATGTTGCCGCTTTCCAGGAAGTGGTACCAAAGTCCCAAAACAACATCCTACACCGAGCTGCCAAGAACAAAACAAAACAAAACAAAACAAAAGAAGAAGAAGAAGAAGAAGAAGAAGAAGAAGAAGAATTAAAAATAGTTATGTCTTCCTATGTTATTGTATACTTACAGAAATGGCATGGTGTAAGAATGATCAGTACATTTTCTTTACGCATTTCAGGAGCAAAACAAGTTATGAGGGAGAAGATGGAAAGCAAATATACAAACACAGTTGAAATAAAAAATGGTCACACTTCTGTTGGTTACATCCAGAGTACCTTGATGTAAGTAAGGACCACTGACACATCAAATGATCTCCCTGACAAACCACCATCTACAGTAGGTCAGCTTTGGAACACCTATGGAGAAACAGGAGGTGGGAGACCACACCAACATTAGAAACACTGGTTCCTCTGCATGGTGTGGTTGCCCCAGACCATGAAGCAGCTCCAACAGGTCCCAAAGTTGGGAGTCGTTCTGAAACGCTTCACTTCAAGATTCCTGAAGAAGAACATGCTGTCCAGGCAGACCACCGAGAGAACGTCCCCTCCCATATTTGTTTCCAAAGCTCTGATTGGCTGAGCTTGGGGAAATGGTCATACCAGTGACATACACAAACTTCACAGGCTGCCGATGAGACTGCTTAATGGCAACAAGGAATGTGGAAATCTACTTCACTCAAATTCATATCCTAGAATCTGCAAATGGGGGACCCAGGGAACCCTGGACCTGTGCTTCTACCAGACCCATGTTATGAGCATTATTACAACACAGTATTTGCTTTGTCCTCCCTTGAAATCAGCCACCATGAGAATATTTCTCTTCAATGGTTGCATTTTTTAAAAGCAACAAGAAGTCAATGTTAAAAAACCTCATGCAAATAGCTGCTGTGGAGGGAGTTAGCAAGATTATGACTACATTAAGCAAGGGGAAAGCCTCTAACCCTTTGGTTGCACTCTTGCAAGCATTCCACTTCTATACACATCAGAAGGAAAATTTCAATTAATGATAGTAGAGGCTTCTCTCCTGAGACTTACATAGCTTTGGGAGAAAATTTTCATCAAGACCATGTTAACCATGTTAAGACCCCTCCCTAATGATCATGTTCTTAATTCTTTTGCCATTTTCATTCCCCCAATCAGTTTCCATAGCTGAGTGGGGATTTAAACCCTGTCTTCCAGAGTGCTAATCTATCCATTACACCACATTGAGCATTGGACACCTTTTAAAATCTTACTCTGTTCTCTTTCACTTACATCTAGTTTCAAGCATAGTTCCAATTAGACATTGTGGACAGGACTAAAGTGAATGCATGATAAAAGATGAGCTTCCTTTACATGTGGTGGTTTTCCACATGATCTGGAACCCTAAAAAATCAGGGGTTCCCAAATTAGGTAGAGAAGCCACACACAGAGAGCATGTCATGCTTTACACATTATCTCCATGTAGAGAAGGTGATTATGGAAGAGATAGGATTAGCCTGATCCCTTTCCTCACATATTCAGGTTAAATCTATCCTAAATGCTTGAGCGAGGTTTAAGAGACTTCAGTTTGAGAAATACAGAGTGTAACAGATACATTTTGAAGTGTGTAAATACTAAATGACCCTTGCAAAATGTAACTCTCCATCTGGAACCTAGGCATTTGTTCCACTCTAAAGGCTACATAACAAAGCTACATAACAAATAACAACCATGCAGTAAAATATGATGATAAACTTACAGCTGCATGTCATAATATGCTTCTACCCCAGTGATCTAATAGTCTTTTCTCCTATTTCAATGGCCTAAGTCTAACGTGGTGCTGACATTACAGTGCCAGTCTTACAGAACACCCATCTCTCTCCCCATATTCCCTTAGAGTTGTCAGAAACCGAGATCTGGGAGTTGACCAACCTTCTGAAGCAGGTTTTTGGGTGCACAAGGGCTGTAGTGAGAAGAATGCCCTATGTGGATGCCACAGGTGCTTGCTCTGTCATGTGGAAATCCAACACTGGATCTTGCCCATTATTTCCAAAGGCAATATTTGGATATTGAATCAATTTTTAAATAAAAGATTTAAGTTGAATCTATATATCTGTCATGCAGCATGTATGATATGTACAGCTTTTTTTAAAATGAAGTGCCTAAAGTTACCAGTAGAAGCAGAAAACACAGAAGATGCCTTCTGGAACCAAGGCCACTATTCTGAGCTCATTCCATTCTCAGTTCTTCCATACCAACTGAAAACATGGTGCCAATGAATAAAAGGATGAAGCTCATCTATGAGCTCATTAACCCTGTGTTCTTCCCTAAAGAGATCAGAGAGTTTCCACAGCCAGGACCAACAAAGCAGCCATCAAAAAATTCCTCAGACAATAATATTGAACAGGCTTCTAAAAGCATTTTCTACACACTCCAATTTCTATACTTCAAAACCTTCAGAACAGTTAGAGTAGTGCATACATTTTGCTGTTGTCATATTAAATGTCAGGTTTGTTCAAAGGATGGATTATTTACATATCTAATGTTTTCAGATGTGTTCCCTTCCAGGCATGGGCTTATTTTCAGGTTTCATTATAGTGCTTTCTGTGCCTAACTGATTTACAATATTTCCCAGGAACTATTTTCCTCTTTTTTCTTTCTAATTCAGCTTTATTATCTTATAGGATGCACATTGAGGCAACATGCAGCTACTGAGCTATCCCTGTCATTTAATTAATGTACATAATAGATTTTTAAAATGCTATGAATAGAAATTTGGTCTTAAGAGAATGCTGCTTTCCAATATATTGTGTCTCACACCTCAGTCCTATAAAAAAGGATATAAATCTACAATATCAGAGGTAAGAACAAAAAAATTCAAACAGTTTCTTCCCATCAGGGTAGATTACAAGAGTATTTCTAATGTTTTCATTTTGCAGAACTAGCTTTGTTTTGTCACACAAAACCCCTTACATTTTGCACAGCATACCTTCTGCACAGAAAAAATATTGAATTTTATACAGAGTTTAATGTTTTAAACACAAAATACAAGTTGATTTGTGTGCAAAACTCAGGGTCTTTTTTTTGTGAATGCAGTTGCTGATGAAAAAGGCACTGGTCATTTTGCATTCATGTAGGAATAAAAAAATCTCACAGTGGTTCCCACTCTTTTTTGATAAGGTGTCTCAATGTATCAGGCCACTTTCTCAATGACAGCAAGAGCCCTATTCATCGCTAGAATGAAGAAAATGATTTCCTCTGTTGTCTCTCGATAAGCACATAATTTTTTAACTTTTACTTTACCTGCTTTCTCTACCTATTTGGAGATTCCAGTCTACTACCCATTTAATTAGTTTAAGAAGCATGCTTATCAATAATGGATTCTAGAGATGAACAGAAACCGGAAAAATGACAGTTCATGGTTTGTGGTTAAGCACAAACCAACCAGAAAACCAACCGGTTCACAGTTCAGTTTTCTGTTTGTGCCCAGTGGGAGGACTATCTGCTCCTGTCACTCTGTCGCCTCCACTGTGATTGCACCACTGCCTAGAAAGGAAACTGTCCTAATATCTCTGACAATGGCAGCAGCGACAGAGGCAGCAGTGGTAGGATCAGGTAGGGAGGCGATAGGGACAGTGGGAAGGGGGGAGGTGGGCGTCCATTTTGCCAAAGCAAAATGAAGCACTGAGGGTGGAAAAAAGTCACTGCTTCATTTTGCTTCGGAAAGACAGGATCCCCAAACTGGATATATATAAAATTGCCTTTATAGATTATTATTTTTTTAAAGAACAAGCATGATAACAATACATCACTATTTGCGATCGCTAGAACGGCCTCGTTGTGCGGATTCATCGTTCTACGGTGGACTTGTTGTGTGAGGCACCACTGTATATTGCTGTATGTTTTCTCACATCACTATTCTTTCTTAATTTCATCCAAGGTAGCATTGAGCCTTGCATCCTTGCAGCCAACAGTCCAGCCACAAGTTTATTATCACACTTAGATGTAATCATGGCCAACAACTTGGGTGCTTTAAACATGGATTAAACAAATTTATAGCGAGTACGGTTATCAAGGATTGCTAGTCATGAATGGGAGGGTCTTATGTTATACTTTTGGTCTTTCTTAATTTCATCCAAGGTAGCATTGAGCCTTGCATCCTTGCAGCCAACAGTCCAGCCACAAGTTTATTATCACACTTAGATGTAATCATGGCCAACAACTTGGGTGCTTTAAACATGGATTAAACAAATTTATAGCGAGTACGGTTATCAAGGATTGCTAGTCATGAATGGGAGGGTCTTATGTTATACTTTTGGCATATGGCTTGGGTGCTTTAAACATGGATTAAACAAACTGATGGCGAGTAAGGTTATCAAGGATTGCTAGTCATAAAAACTTGCCTTCATTGCAAGAACAGAATGTTCAGCTCTATGGATCGGGGCAAGGAATAAGTGACACTCAAAATGCTTCAGCCTTACCATGACCTTTGATACAGTACATGAAGTCCAAAGCATCTGAAGAATAAATATTCCCACCACTAAAACAGATTCTTGGTCTGATCTATCAGGGATTATTTCAGGTTCTTAAGATTGTCCTACAAGATATTCCGTCTATATATAGTCCCCATTCCTACAATGATGTATTTTTATATGTTTGTTTGTTTGTAAAAAAAATAAAGGGTCTGTCTTTGCCTTCTCTTCTTTCTTACAGAAGCTGCTAGTTGGGAAAGGCCCTGCCGATGTTCAAACGCAAGTCAACTACCACAGAACAGGGTGGAAAAGAATTTCATTGGTTTTGACACGTTGATGAAAGCAGTCTTTTTGCACCTCTCAAGACTTGTTGCAAGAAGAAATGCACCGTGCCTTGAAAATTCACGCCTTTACAAGGCCAGTGGGGCATACTGAGAAATAAAGGATGTGTGAAACTTATATGGTGAAAAATGCACACAAGTTTTTAAAATACGCACAAACAAACTCAGTCATTGGGAATGTGTATGCTGGGTAAAATAGAAAGAAATGTGCCCATCAGGTAAAAAAATGCATAAATAAAATGTACATGCACTTTTATGTGGAAAAAATGCAGGAAGTCTTGCAACCCAATAAGAAATATGGACCAGGAGAAAATGAAGGCAGGAAATATGCAACAAAATCATATCCCTACCAAACAACAAAAACAAAACCCTGTTTCTGTGTGTGCTTGTCTCTGTGTGTATTGTTCCCTCTGGTTAGCCATTATCAAAGAAAATTTTCTCTCAAAAATTTCTGTCAATCCTGATTGTGCCTGTATAGAACAGTTGCCCAGAACGATGCTCATTTTAATTTAGACAATAAAATGCAAGCTTTGGTGGCTGCATTTGGCAAATTATATTGTTTAGCTGCAGTGACAGCTAAAGTTGTCACCACATAACACATTAAAATGGGTTTTCTTTCCTTAAGAACCTGCTCTGACACATTTGTGGCAATCTGTAAGAAAGATCCCATTTAGACAGAAAGAATAAAGAGCATTAATCTTTTCTTCCTGCCAATTGTGCCCAAGGTCAGGTTTACTGTATTTTATTCTGGTGAGTTAGCAGGAAAGATTCTTAAAGATCCTGTATTTGTGGGCAGCTGCATTTTGGAAGCTTTTGGAATTTATTTGTGCTTTGTTTGGATGACATCTCTGGAGAGGGCACAATAGGTTTTTAAATGCTTGAAAGGTAAGCCCAGTGCCATCAATTCCAGCTGGTTGACGTAAGCTTCTTGTTAGTGATTGTAAGTGACAATGCCAACCAGGCAAAAATCAAACTGCTTCCTGCAAACTCTTCATGCCACTCACAATTTAGCTTGCCAGGAAAGGCAAGAAAGAGATCCCAGCCTCTACATAACACACCAGACTCACAAAACAAGTACAGAAAGCACAATTGGCCATATTGCTTCCATGTTCTTAGGTGTAACTATCAAGTATCAAAGAAGTCTTGTAAGGTTAAAGCTGTATTGAAGTCAGCAGCTTACACCTTAGTCTTCAAGACCTGAACTGAGCTGCCTTGAAAGTCACTAAACCGAAGAGAGGACAATTATTACATGAGACCATTCAATATGTTCTGGACAACAGCTGTGTGATCAGGCCCAGCCGATGCAAAAGATTCAGTGAAATAGATGTCTCAGGCAACAGATCCTGGGTCTTGTGAAAGGCCAACAAATACACAATTTACTTTGCTATGCTCTTTTATTTAAATGGATTGGGAATGTTTTTTTTGTCTGATTTTCTGCCCCATGTGCTAAAATAACTTGACTAAATGCTGTGTATTTTACACACAACCTAAGTGAATGGCTGGTGTCATTTGCTGCTAAAATGGGGAAAAATCCTTCTTGTGAGAGAGATTAAAGATTTTTTTAAAAAATTGGTTGGTTGTTTTTCTATTTTTTTTTCAGTAAGAGGAAGAAAAAGGACTATTTAAATTACATGTATGAAGCTCTGGGCATCCAGAGAAGAGGGAGAAAGGCGAATAGGTGAGAAAGAGAGGGTGGAACTGCTTGACAGCTACCGTATTTAAAAGGACTATTTAAATTACATGTATGAAGATCTGGGCATCCAGAAAAGAGGGAGAAAGGCGAATAGGTGACAAAGAGAGGATGGAACTGCTTGACAGCTACCTTGCTTCCAGAAAATCTGAAGAAAAATAAATGCTGCCTCCATAAGACGCACCAAATTTTTAGGCAAAGAAAACAGGAAAAAATAATCTGGATATTTCGCTCCATAAGACGCATATACATTTTCCCCAATGTTTTTTTTTGGGGAAAAGTGTGTCTTATGGTGCAAAAAATACGGTACTTTGCTTCCAGAAAACCTGAAGAAAAAAAGAGTAAATGCTGCAGGGAGAAGGTTGCAACTTGTAGCCTAAGATAAGTGACAAGGTGGTTAATGCCACACTGAGCCACTTTAAAGGAATTCAAGTCCCCCGAGCCATGAACTGCACCCAAGAATGATAAACGAACTTGCTAAAGGAGTCTCTGTCTAAAATAATTGAGAAGTCTTGGAAAACAAGTGAGGACCCAGGAAACTGCAGGCAATTGAGAAGTCTTGGAAAACAAGTGAGGGCCCAGGAAACTGCAGGCAGGCAAGTTCCTAGCTTCAAAAAGGGAAAAGGCAGACCAGCCAGGGAGACTGACCATTATAATCAAAAAGCTGTTCTGTGAGCACTTAGAAAAGAATTCTTGGTCACTAAAAGCCAGCATAGGTTTCTCAAAAACAAGCTATGCGATGCTCATTTTCTCTTCTCTTCTCTCTTCAGACTTGCAATGCTATGGATGTTGTGTAGAAAATGGAGTAGGACTCAAACCAATGGATTCAAATCACAATGAAGGAAAACATTCCTGATGGTGAAAACTGTTCAGGATGAAATGGAACAACTTGGAAGGTGGTTTGAGGTTCTCAAACAAGCTGGATGGTCATCCATCAAGGACATTTCACCTATGAATTTCCTGCATGTGCAGGTGGTTGGAATAGAGAATACTTCCAAATCTAACATTCTGTGATTCTATGAGAGGATTCCACTTTAGCCTTTTTAGTTACTACTACCATTACTTGCCTGAGATCTCTGTCACAACTTACTTTCAGTTAACTGTTGGCCAGTGAAAAGGGTGGCTGTCTGCTTCCTCACTCCTCCCAGCGTTTAGAGAGTGGATTGGGAGACAGTCTTCGAACTGCCTGGTACTGTACTGCCTGGACTGTCTTTTCCCTGCCTTCCCTGAACCTTTCTTGACCTAAGAAAAAAAGAAACAAAATATCCCCCCTCTAGTGGTCGAAGGTGGAATAGCAGCTTCCCTTTAGTTTTTATGGACGGAAAAGAGCAGATACGGATCAAATGGTTTTCAATGCATTCCTATGGGAAATGCAGATTTGACCTGAGAACTTTTTGACTTGAGAAACACCTTCCAATACGGATTAAGTTCTCAAGTCAAGACCCCACTGTACCATTACTTGCTTGATATCTGTGTTACAACTCACCGATTCTTCTGGTGGCAATGACCAGGATATCTTAGTTTCAGTGAAGGCAAAATTTAGAATTGATGCTGAAATCAAATCATCTCCAATCATTTTTTTGTATTGTTTTGCCTGGGGTTTTACGGAGCCTTTGAGTATCGCATAGAATCCGTTGCTTCCATCCACTGGAATTAAAATTAAAATTAATTAACAAGAGATGGCAATTTCAAAATCCAGAAGAGGAAAAAAAATAGCATGTATTCAGCGCCATACTATAACTTATTCCGATAAAACCACAGGTATTATTTTACAGAGAAATATGAGTATATTAGATATGGATGCAAAACCAGAGGTCGGGAGTTCAATTCTTCAGTGTGCCTTCTTGACAGTTCAAAGACTGCAATTCTAGGAATACATATAATCTCACAGAGAAATATGAGTATATACTGTAGCTCAGTGATTTAGATATGGATGCAAAAACAGAGGTTGGGAGTTCAATTCTTCAGTGTGCCTTCCTGACAGTTCAAATACTGCAATTCTAGGAATACATATAATATATTGCAATAGTCTTCCTGCTGTTGCTTCTGAGATAAGACCTTCCACATGCTTGATTTGATTACCCCAATACACTAAATCAGCAATTCCCATCAAACCAATTAACAAGAGATGGCAATTTCAAAATCCAAAAGAGAAAAAAAATAGCATGTATTCAGCGGCATAATATAACTTATCCCAATAAAACCACAGGTATTATTTCACAGAGAAATATGAGTATATACTGTAGCTCAGTGATTTAGATATGGATGCAAAAACAGAGGTTGGGAGTTCAATTCTTCAGTGTGCCTTCCTGACAGTTCAAATACTGCAATTCTAGGAATACATATAATATATTGCAATAGTCTTCCTGCTGTTGCTTCTGAGATAAGACCTTCCGCATGCTTGATCTGATTACCCCAATACACTAAATCAGAGATGGAGAATATATGGTCCTCCAAAATGTTGTAGGGCTACAATTCCCATCAAACCCGTAGTCCAACAACATTTGGAGGCTACACATTCCTCAGTGATGTAAGCAAAGCATATATGCTTTCTTAAGAGGATAAGGTCTAGTACAGGCCGACATATGTGCAACCATCAAACTAACTGTAGGCACTAGTCATATGTTACGGCCTGTCAAATACTCAGAACAACCAGGGCTTACAGTGCCAACTAAGGATTATAAAGGTCCTGGTAAGCTCCCAGACATGACTGAAACACTGTCATTGGCCAGGAAAGCCATAAGTTGCCTGGATCCTAAAATGCTGTATCCATGCATATGAAGGGTAAACACTTAAAAGGAAAAAAAAGAGACTTTGGTTCATATAAGGTACCCAGGCTTTGTATGCCCTTTCTCCAGGTGTTTTATGTTCTTTCCAGTTTTCTAAGACATACAATAAAATATGTACTTAAAAATACGTACTTTTTTCCCAACATGGATTCTCAGTCTAGGACTGCCAGGTCTCAAGGTATCAAGAGATGTTTCAGGGAATTGCTGTGCTTCTCTGTATTTCCCAAATGGAGAGAAAAATCTTAGGGTGGGTAGCATTAGAGGAAGAAAGCTCTCTCTCTCTCTCTCTCTCTCTCTCTCTCTCTGTGTGTGTGTGTGTGTGAGTGTGTGTGTGTGTAGGGGCTTTAAAGCCTGAGCACCCCATTCACCCTTTACTATACAGTGTCTTTATTTGGATTTGTGCTCATTTACTTAGATTCCCTTCATGCTTATTTCCACAGTCAGCTGGGCCAGAAGCAATTCTAGACTTTCTCCCAACCTCAGCCTGCCTCACTTACCTGACATCACAAATACCCTCCATCAACCTCTGGTCTAGTCTTGAAATCTCAAGGAAGAGGCTCCTGGCAACCTGGTGATCATACCTCATCCCCAAGATGTTTCGGACCAAAATTCCCATCAGCTTCAGCTGTCTAAGCCATCTGCACAAGCGATGGCCAGAAGTGGTGAGATTTATAAGCCAAAACATCTGGGAGGGAGCCACATTGGGGAAGATGGATTTACATAGTTTGGCAGGGATCAGTGATGAAAACAGAATAACTCTGAAAACTGTGTAGGAGCATCATTTATGCACAGCTATCTGTCACAGCTGTTTTGCTTTGTTTCTTTTTTCAAGTTCCTAGAATAGAAAACTCAATTTCTCCCTATTTACCAGGAATATAGTCCTTTTCAAAATTGCTTACCATCATCATCATCTTAGAACAGTATAGCTAGAAGGGACCCTATGGGTCATCAAGTCCAGTTCCTGTCAAGGAGACACAATGGGGAATAGAACTCCCAGCTTCTGGGTCTGCAGCCAAAGACCACTGAACCACCGAACTATCCAGCAGTTCAATTATTATTCTCTCTCCCCTTCCCCATTTTAGACTTTTAACCAAGGCTTGTTATTATCTTATTATGATGAGTCATTACAGATAATCACTTTTCAGCATGCCTATCTCTCCACATCTCCCAGTGCAAGGTGATGAATCTTGTCCTAATGTGGATACATATAAAGATATTCATATGAGCACAAAGGAACCATGCAATGCATGGTCAAATAGCAGTGCAGTGGTGATTATGGGTAACAATGCAGACTACAGACCAATTCTGTTTTCCTAATGTGATTGTTAGACAGAAACAACCAATCAATCAAATAAAGCAATGCATTTCTCAATTTCTAAAACAAAGTATGAAAGCAATGCTAGAGCAGAGAATATGAACATAGTATACAGTAGGTGGAGGAGAGCCTTAAGCAATGTGTAATAGGAAAGGCAGCTCAAGAAATCAGCCCCACTGTGAAAACAGAGGTGTTACTACTATGATCTATATTTATCAATATGTGGTTGATGGAGGGGGGTGTAGAATTATCAGTCACTGACACCAGTAATATTTTGCAATTATTGTGTGAATGAAACACCCTGTGGTCTTATGCATTATATAGAGATGGGGGATTCGAGACATAAGTTTGTTTGCATTTCTAGGACCAGCCCTGCCATTAGCAGAGTGAAGCAGTTGCCGCAGATGCAAAATGAGAGCATAGAGCAGGGTGGGAAAATACTGGGTGGCAAAATGATTTGTCCAGCTGTATCTGTGCCCAAACATGGGCTTCTGGATTGCTGTTCCAGCAAAGGGATAGGTAAAAGGTAAAGGTTCCCCTTGACATTTTTAGTCCAGTCGTGTCCAACTCTAGGGGGTGGTGCTCATCTTGTTTTTCAAGCCGTAGAGCCAGTGCTTGTCCGAAGACAGTTTCCATTATCATGTGGCCAGCATGATTAGGGAACACCGTTTTACCTTCCCACCGAGGTGGTACCTATTTATCTACTCACATTTACATGCTTTCAAACTGCTAGGTTGGCGGGTTTAGCCCGTAGCACCACCACGTCCCCTAGCAAAGGGATACATCCCACATATTCCCCACTTCTCAGAAGTTTTAAAAAGAAAACTTCCTTGTGCCCTTTAGAGGAATAGATAACAACTTTGACAGATTTTTGAAAAGCCTCAGCATCTCCCCAAGGCCCCCTAGAGATTTTTTTAAAAACTATTTTGGCGACTAGAGAATGCAAGGGGGCTTTTTCACACACACCTCTCCAATTTTGTAAGGGAGAAAGCGGAATCACAGGAACAAGTGTATCCCCCCCATGTTCCTAGGCAGATGTGTATGGCCCCCGGAGGTTGGCCATCACATTTAAATGTTACCTTATTTTTCCTAGATGGTTTTAAAAACAGGGGAGGCAGCAGCACAGTAGTGGTGGCAACAACAGAACCTGGGCTGTCCAAGCCAGCATTCAGAAGTGGTACAGCAGGAGCAGAATGATTGCCACCATGCTACTCAAACCATAGGGTTTTAAAGGTGACAAGGAAAAAGCTCATTGTAGCAAAAACTAAAAAAAGGTAAGACCCCACTCATCATTATTATTCTGATCCACACACCTCGACCATTCCATCTCTCCTCAAAATGTTTTGCTCCTCCCCACTCGGCTGGCTGAGCTAAATCCCTGAGCTGTAACCAAGTTAATCTTCCTTCCCCTTTTCCCCATCCCTTAGCAAAATATGCAGAAAAGAATGCATGCACTTTTACAAATTATCTAGAATCTAGAATCAAATATATTAATTATCAATTACAACTGTTTCTTCAAAATTGTGCATTAAAATACAAGTAAATACAGGTAAATTTTATATTTGTATTGTGGAGTCATTTCAAGAATTTGGAAAAAAACTGGAGTCATCAATGAAATAGAAGGTAAGTAGATTGTTGTGCAGCTGTTCAACACATGGTCTCCGTGTCCCTATTTACCAAAAGCTCTAAGTCACTGCCACTATTTTTCCCTTTATGAAATGTCTGTCATCATTGTGTTCCTGGAGGTATCAGTCTTTCCAACGTTGGCAGAAGTGAAATCTATGGCTGGAGGGCAGATGTGGTTTGTCTCCAATACACATTCATTTTCAAAGCAAACGCGCAGGATGGTTGTGTGCTCTGCTTCAGAAAGAATAATACTCTACTGGAAATGGCTGTCTGGGGATGCTCTAGTTGAAGTCTGTTCTGAACGGAACGCCTGTCCATTCAAAGTCCAGCTTAAAAGATAAAGAAACATGAAAAGAGAGAGCAGAAGCTTTGAAGTTGCCCATCCAGATTTTAAGGAAAAAGAACACCATTCATTTGAAATGTGGTGCTGGAGGAAAGCTTTGCAGATACTATGGACTGCCAGAAAGATGCACAAGTGGGTCCTAGATCAAATCAAGCCTGAAACATCTCTGGAGGCAAAAATGTTGAAAATGAGGCCGTCCAGCTTTTGGCACATCATGACGAGGCACAATTCTCTGGAATGGAAATAATGCTGGGAAAGGTAGAAGGCAGCAAGGAAAGAGAAAGAACAAATGTGAGACAAATTGATTCCCTAAAGGAAGACATTGGCTTGAATCTTCAAGAGCTTAGCAGAGCTGTTGAAAATGGCACATTTTGGAGACTGCTCATTCATAGTGTCACCATGTGTCAGAAGCAATTTGACAGCACATAACAACAATATGCAGAGAGCATCTCGACAGTGGACGAATTACCTATTCAAAGTCTTTCCCACAATGGTAAGATGCATTAATTTAAATTAAAGACTTCTAAGTTTGCATCTGCAGTATATATCAGTTGGCCCATCAGCTGGCTTGCTC